TGCATTTTGGATAGCGGGGATTGCAGACATGTACCACCACACCTGTCTTCATACCTTTTAACCACGAAGAACTTTTCCTCATCTCTTAAAAAAAAGAAACTTGAGCTGGTTCGAATTTGAGAATAGCCTAGGCCACACAGCAAAACCCTGTCTCAACACTCCCCCACCCCTAAAAAATAGAATCTTGCTTTTGTTCTATTGACAGAGGAACTCCCTCTTAATTCTCTGAGTGTGTGTGTGTAACAATTTGTTCTGCTCCCTGCTCTGTTACTGATCCAGTGACTTACTTTTCTTCTGTTTGTTCTTTTCTGTCCCTTTCTTTTTCATTAGATACTTCTCAAATGTCTGGGGAAGACTGAAATACTTATAAGCAGTTCTGAGGGCACATCCAGGTGACTGGTAGACTTTGTCATTGGTAGTTAGAGGTCTTTGCTCCACCATTTAGTGTCTTCAGGAAAGAACCAGTCTCTTGAATAATGAGATGGATTTTTTTTTCATATAAGAAAGCTAGACATGGGAGCTCAGAAGCACATTTTTCTCTTAAATGAAGATTTTTGACTTTGCTGGCTCTGATCCAGGAGGGCTGCAGGCATCTATCAATGTTTCTTTTAAGAACCTACATGGTGCTGAGGTATAACTGAAGTGGTAGAGCACTGCCTAGCAAGCAGGAGGCCCTGAGTGCAAACCTCAATACTGCCAATAAGCAAACAAACAAATAAAAGGCCTAGATGAGATGGTTTGTGTAAGTCCTCTTAGTGGTATTATAACCCAAAAGTTTACAGTAATACCCTGCGTAACTATGTTTTGGCTAACAGTGAACAGCATATGCGACAGTTGTCCCAAAAGACTCATGGAGCTAAAATATTCCTGCACCTAATGATATCACAATCATTGGAATGTCGTAGGGCTGTGCGTTACTTGTGTGTTGTTGTGTGTGCTAATGGGTGTTCCAAATGCATGGCCTTCACTAGATTTCTGTAAATTGGAATAAAGCACTTGGACACATGGTGTGTGTGTGAGCATGTGTGCACATGCATGGACATGCATGCGTGGTATCCCCTAGCTGTAGTCCCCGGTAATGCTCCAAATGACAAATGCCAGCTATCCCACAGGAAGACTTTGAGCCAGTCTTCCTGTTTTCAAAATGTTGCCTTATCCCTCGCCTTCTAGGGACGTGGTGTGCCTCCAGGTGTCATTGCAGACTTTTGCTGGGAGAGTTGGCTATTTCCTCTTTGGGATCCACCTTTTAAAGTTTCAGCTTTTCCTTTTTTCTGAATCAGCCATCACTCACATGTCCCCTTTCCAACTTCTAATGACTGGTTGAAACTTCTTGGACACTATCATCTCCCCTCCAGTCTCTTTTTCAGGAGGGAGAAGAGATAAAGACTTGTGCTTAATTCAGTATGTTTACCTTGGAATTTCTTTTGATTCTTTATCAAAACTTTAAGCTCCTTGAGGTGGAGATTCGGTATTATATTTGTAGTTTCATAGTGCAGCTTGTAGGCACTGATAACCATTGTTCTAGTGAGTTAGTGATCTGTGCTGACAGGTCTCTCTGGAATACAGTGACTCTAGTTGCTGATGTGATTATCTCCCCTGAGATCATCTCGGGGGAAAATATTGACTGCCAGGTGGAGAGTTTTCAAACTGACCCCTGTGACTCAAGGAGGTATTTTTTTAAATGTTTTACTTATTTAATTTGTCAGCATTAAGAAGTTTGGATTCATTCCTGTCCCTAAGGAGTGTCTTTCTCTTTCTGTTTTTCATAAGGGGACTTAACTACTTGGTTTCTTATTACTCTTCTTGAAGGTCGAGTTTCTGACTGTTTAGAATGCAGTGATTTGACACACCCAGAGTCTCACCCAAAAAATTGCTTCCTATACTTGGAAAAAATTCTGTATGTATAAATATTCTTCCTGGTACCCAACATTCTCTAAGAGTTAAATATTAACACTAAATAAAAAGTTGCCTTTTTGTTAACATTTCCTCACTGACCTGCCTCCTATTTAAACATTTGTTTTGCTTTTTCACCTCTGTGTGAATGACCTCATCACCAGGCTTAGGAACTTCTGTCTTCCTTCTCCTCCTTCCCCCCACTCATCCTCTTTCTTCTCTTCCTTTTAGCCACACCAATAGCAAGAAATGCATTTATACCAATATCTCGTACAATAGTATGCAACTGGAACAGGAGTATGTGGAAACGAAGTTTACCTTTGTGGGTGACTGTTCTGAGAGGTATTGTTCTGTTCTGCCCTTTCGCTAAATGTATGTCCATGGAGATCCACTCAGTTTTACAATCCACTGGATTGCAGATTGCTATTGGAAAAACCATTACTGTAGTTACTTTGAACAAGCCTGAAACTGTAAGTTCATTTCCTTGCTCCTTCACTTTCTTCATTTCATTGCCAAAATTAAGTAACATTGCTTTGAAATTAGAGAAAATAATTATTAGAGTTCTCTCAAGGCAGTAGTGATCATTTTTGTAAACTCCTTACCTGTCTCTTGTCCTTATGTATACCCAGTTGGCATCTTATTTGTGTGGCTAGGAGATATTATGTGTGGTTACACAGTTTGTGCTTAAAAAGTACTATATTTTTAGAGTAATGAAGATACAGATATACCCATATACTCCCTTCCCCTCCACACATAGCCTCCTCATTTTCAGCATCCTGTACCACAGGGTATGTCTGATGAGCCTGAATAAACTCGTCATTGTCATTTTAAGTCCACAGTTTACATTAAGGTCCATCTTTTGTATTGGACGTTGTATCAGTTTGGGCAAGTATATACTGACATTTATCATATGGAGTGTTTCCACTATCCTGACAATCCTCTATGCCTTGCCTTCATCCCTCCCCACTCCTCCTCCACAACTGACAGCCCCACAATCCATATTGCTTTGACATCCTATAGGCTCTGAATAGTGTGCCATCTCTTTTAGGTATAGTTTTCTTTGTTGAAAGAACCTTGACATTTACTTAGTATTATGCCTTTAGATAGAATGCTGACAGATTTTTATTGAACTTGCTGATACTTTTTATTACGTATTTTCTTTTAAAAATTTTTTGTAAGTATAAATTAATTGTAGAGGAGTTTCACTGTGATACTTGTATGTATGCATGTAATGTACTTTGATCAAATTCTTCCCATCTGCATCACTTTAATGCCCTCCCCTTCTCTCCCTCTTTTGAACAGTTTTTCATGGATTTCATTATGTACATATTTCAATATGTACATATTTACCTCCCCCATCATCGTCTCCATTCCTCTTCCCCCTCTTGATGGTTCTCCCCCTTATTCATTTTTTCTAATTATAGGCTCATGTATATGAATTTTGGGAAGTCTAGTGAAGTACAAAGAAGAAAGTGTCATTTTACTTTCACTATTTATGATAACCACTATTAAAAACTTAATATATTTCCTTCATATAATTTCTTTGCAAGTATAGTACATTTTGCTACAACACTACACACACAGTTTTATGTTACTTTTTAAAACAATGTTATATCATAGGCACTCTTATTTCACTGAAATAATTTAACAAATCTTACTTAAAACTTACTATATTTGGGTTATTTAGGTATTTTCCACTTTTATTTATCTGTTACTATAATCAACTGCAGTGAACATCTAATGCCTGGACGTTTATCTGCATTTTTTTCTTTTTCAGACAGAGTCTTGCAATGTAGCCTAGGCTGACCACAAATTTGCAGTCCCCTGCCTCAGTGTCCCAAGTGCTGGGATTATAGCTGTGTACCACCAATTTAAGGTATACTTTAAGTTAGATTTTAGAAGTAGACTTACTGAGACCTTGACACTTACTGCTGAGTCATCTTTCCAAAAGGTTGGAGCTTCAGTTTTTAAAATGAGAAAGTCTTAGCTTATTCTGTATATACATGTGTGGATCCTCAAAAGATGGCATGTAGATTGGCAGTGTAGGCATGAAGCCACATTCCTTAAGAGGTAGGTGAGAGTTGAAAGCTGGGGCATAAAAGGAAATACGTAGGGTTAGAAGTGGGTGGGCTGGTATTGGCAGAATGGAGGAAATTTCCAGAATGGCTTTCATCCTCTCCTCAGAGTCAGGGCGTGGGAATGGAAGTAGGGACTGTGAGGGACATGGTGATGACTCGGAATGACTAACATGGAGAATAGAAGGGGGAGATGCTTGGAGTCCTTTACATTAAGATCCCATTCTATTACCTGGAAAGTTTCCAAGTACCTACTGAGGATTCAGCTGAATTGGATGTCATACAGTTAGGGTAGTAGCGATCTGTGAAGTCTTCTATGATTCTTCTCTGGAAAGTCTGACCCTCCATATAGAAGGAAGATGGGAATGGATGGGCTGGTTGGGCCTGGGAATTTGCATAGTGGCTATAAGGGTTGGAAAGGGACTAAGGTGAGTCAGATTAGAGGAACAATGCTCCTTAAGTGATATATCATGCCATCTTGGCCACCAGAAAAGAAAGCTTGTTAGGTTGATCACTTATAGGAACATAACATGTTCTGTATCTTTATATTCATGGCTCAGATCCTGAAACGCAAGCCAGGCCTGAGAAGGTGGTGCTAATGGTGTGATGTGACAGTGTTGGGGATGGGAGAGGTTTCCTTTCTTCAAAGCTGGTCATGGGTCTACTTCATGGATCCACTTAGGAGCAGGGAGATTTGCAAACATTAAGAACTGAAGCTGCTGCTGGAAGCCTGCACTGTACATAGATGAAAGAAGTTAACGATGGTTCAGAACAACAGATCAGACGGACTGGTACTAGTCTTCTGTATGCTTCTCTCAGAAGCCTAAGGGTGCCTCACTGGGCACACTCCAAAAATGCATAACTAAGAAAGCTTAAATAGTTCAAGTTCTGGATCAAAGTGAGAGTTAGGGGCTCTGTCTGATGAGGTCGAGGATTGCTGTAGTGGACAGCGTGAGGACAGGGAATGCTTGAGTCCCCTGACATCTGTGGATTTGAGGGATCATTGTGCCTGAGCTAGACCCCCTCAAGAACATGGCTGACAGAGTGACTCCTGAGGTGAGGGTGGGAGGTGTTGGAAGATCCAGGTAATCACGTGACTGAAGCACCTGAACCAAATGTAAGACTGCAACCCTGCCCTGCACACTTTGCTGGATTTTGTTGGGGTAGTGTTACTAGTCTCTCTTGCTCATTTTGTTCCAGTAATATTATTGAAGGGAAATGTTGGGGTACTGTTTTCTGAACCCAAATGAAGTTTGTTTGTAACATCAACTAGAAGTTGACTCTTTGCAAATATTGAAAATAACCTTCCATTTACCTTTTTTCTCCTACTCTTGAGCTAATGCTAATAAAAATGGTATTTGATTAACCTCTTAAAATGTACCCTGGATGACTAAACAGATGAATTTGATGAAATTAATTACAGGAGGTGATGAACTTATGAATCACTGCAATTCATGCCAGTTTGCTCAAGCTACACTGTTAAGCCTGGAGAGGTGACAGTTCCCACAGCACAAGCCCACTTCTCCATCATAGCAGAACTTGAGGGGACTGGATCTTTCACTGGTTTTACCGGTGCATTTACTGGAGTGCTGCTTTTTCGAACTTAGAGCACATTTTTATATCTTACATGGGCTTTATAGATGTGTACATCATGTCTTGATCATCCTTTCACTTTGAACTCATTGCAAGTATGACATACGGGTCTTTGTTCTACATTGTTGGCTCACGTTAGCACAGGCACCTGATCCTGAGATAGCTTTGCAACACAGAAGAACTAGAAAGGAACCACCATTAAACTTAGCAATAGCCCCAGATTCTCAGTAGAACTTTGAGCATTGATCTGGATTTAGCCTATGGAGCATTTAGCCTATGGAGAATCGCAGAGCACTCATAGTTATGATATCAAAAATAGAATCAATAAGGAGAAAACATAAAACTCAGATTATTTCTGTTGGAAGAAAAGGCTAAAGGAAGCTCTAAAGGCCTTCTTCAAATATGTGAAGAGAGTTATTATTCTTAGGATGGTGAAGCATTCTCTTTGTGTGTGTTCTGTGGCAGGAGAAACTGTTTAAATTGTAACAAAAGAGACTTAGGTTAGATGGAAAGAAAAAAAATCTTTATAGGAAGAGAAAGTGAACACCTTCCAAATATGTGGATTTCATCTCTAGTAAAACTCTCACCATTCCTTGGACTGTGGATTGACTAGTCTTATCTATTGGTGATAACCTAGAGCTGAGCCTTATTCTCAAAATCCTGAAGGTTTTTTTGTTTGTTTTTAAATCTTATAACCATTCTGTTTGTACTCTTTAGAATGGCAGGAACTTTTAGGATATCTCTTCCTGGAAGCGAAGGTATCCATCTCAATATGATCCCTAGGGAATAACAATTGTGTTCCATTACTGATTTTTTGTACCTGTGCTGGTAGTAAAATGATATTTACGAAAATGTAATGCTCTAAGCAGATATTTAAAATTATAGACCAAGGGTGATTTTTCTTAAGATAATTTGTTTATGTTTTGGTGATACTGGGGTTTGAACTCAGGGTCTCATGCTTGCTAGGCAGGTGCTCTACCACTTGAACCTCTCTATCAACGAGGGTGATTTTTCTTAAAACAGCTGAATGAGCAGGACTTTTTAACTCGGATTCTCATTGTATGTGGTCTCTTAGTCCTCAAATCCTTGCTAATTTTCTAAGACAGAAATTTAGCTATTAAGTGGACCTTAAAACTGTAGGTTGAGGGAAGCTCTGAATAAAGATTCTGGTTCTATTTGGCCCTTAGATAGCGCCACCTAGTGAGGTGTTGTGGTCTATGCCAGGACATTCAGAGCCAGACCTCTTCAGTAAAAGCTGAGTAGTTTATTTGTAAAAACTTTAAAAATATATATAATGTAGTTATTTTTGATTTATAGCATGTATTACTCCCTCCACAACACAATTAACTGAAAGCATGTATTTGAAGAAAAAAAAAAAAACAAATAAAAAATGAAAACAAAAACCCAACCAAATAAATTGATTTCAAGCCTGACCGTCTAATACTATGGGTTGAGAAGACATTCTCATAAAATAAAGATCAGGCTGTATGAAAATTTCTGAAAATAATATCCACCATCCCTCCATTGTACAGAAGTAAGTGTCCCAATGATGTTATATTGTCTCCTTCTTGTTTAAAACTTTTAAAATTCATTAAAATATGAACCTTTATTTCAGAGACACATTTCAAAACTTACTTAAAAATAAAATCAGGTTGCTTCCTAGTATAAGGCAATACACTATTTAAATTGTTAAAAATCTACTGTGCTGGGTTGGAGGTGAGGTTGAAGTGGTAGAGCACCCTCCTTGTAAGTGGAGGCCCTGATTTCAAACCCCAGTACCACCCCATCCCCCCAAAAAACCTACCAAGATTCTAAAAACAGTTATTACTTAAGATGGGTGATTTGCAAGCTCTCGGCCAAGCAAACCACAGAATGGGGTGAAGAGGTGACAATTCAGACAGATCACGGTCCTCTCTCACTTTCTTGTTCTTTCCTTTTCTCCTTTATTTCTATATTATAGTGTTTCTATAGTCGTGAAATGGAGCTAGGATGTAATTTTTAAAGTAAATCCTTTCAGTGTTTTTAGCTTTTTTTTTTTCTCGTGAAGGAAGAATTTGTTTTCTCCCAAGAGTAACACTAGTTCTTTGATACAGTTTTCTCCCTTAATGGATTTACAACACTTGAAAGGAATTAAAATTTTTAAAAAGTACCTTTCCCCTCTAATGGAAGTAAGCTACTTTTGTGATATACACATTTCTTGTGAATTTATCATGCTGGTAAGTATTTTCTTATCTGTAAAGACTTGCATTCCTGTATTAACTGAGCTTCTGAACTTTCATGTCTATGTAGAATGACCTGGTTGACCAAGATCTAGTTTTCTGTGTCCTGTCTTCCTTCTAGATACATTTCATCTTGCTCTTCAGTCGACAAGGGAAATTGCGGTTGCAAAAATGGTATACCACTCTCCCTGACAAAGAGAGGAAAAAGATCACCCGTGAAATTGTTCAGATCATTCTCTCTCGTGGTCACAGGACAAGCAGTTTTATTGACTGGAAGGAGCTAAAACTTGTTTATAAAAGGTGTGAGTAACTTTATGAGATCTGAGTTTCTCATCGTTGCTTATTGTTGCTTTGGGTTATTTTAACCTTGAACATTTTATATTGCAATATCAATTCCATCATTTCTTGAAATCTTTGAAGGCTAAGATCCAAAATTGAAAAGGGATTTTTTTTCAATGAAGACCCAGAAGAGTCTGAACATAGCCAGTCTGACCCATTTGAAATGCCCTGCAGAGGTTGTTCATAAAACCTGACGGGGAAAAAGAGAGGTAGCCTCTGCAGACTGCTACTGGTGGAGTAAATTACCAACCAGTGCCTTGGCAGAGCTCTTTCTGCTGGGTCCAAGCTCTGAGCTTCATAAGTGAGGATGGAGATGGTACAGAATGACAGAAGCACCACATGAAGTGAGAGGGTGGGGGTGTGTGGGCCCCTGAAAGCACTGGTCAAGATAGCTGGAGAGGGCCATGAACAGACATCACGATTACTATAAACCAAAAGATAGTGCCCCTCCTATCCTTGCCCTTCAAGGTAAAATTTTGCTGAGAGTCTTTCATGTGATCGATAGAAGTACAAACTCACCACAGATGTATCCCGTCTTTTGTTTTGGGAGGATGTTGGATGTGATGAATGGTAGCGTCATTCAGGTGAGGAGAACCTTTGGAGAAAAGGAGGAGACTGCATTTTTAGTGAGAAAAAAGATGTTTAGGTTGTTTAGTATCTCATCCTATTTTTTCTTTATTTTTCTCTTCAAGGTATGCTAGTTTATATTTTTGCTGTGCAGTAGAAAATCAAGACAATGAGCTCTTGACACTAGAGATTGTGCATCGGTATGTGGAGTTGCTGGACAAATACTTTGGAAATGTAAGTGTGGTTCTGCTCCATTAGAACCAGTCAGTCTCCATTGCAGCTCTTCCTTCAGTTCCTTCTCATCGTGTTCCTTCTCTCTATCAAGTCTGAAATATGAATGGCATTTGTACCAAGCATCACACTAGCCCAACTTGGATCAGAATCCACGGCTTATCTTCCTACCTGTAATTCCTAGTAAATGAAGGACTCAAAAGACATGGGTGTGTCTTTACCCTCAGAGCACAGACACACTGGGGGCCTTGTTTCAGGGAACCAGAATTAGTCTGTGAAGGATTCCTTGATAATTCTTTCTCTTAGTCCTCATTGCCCTGGTCATCTTTCTCTATTTTAACTTTTATCTCTTCCCAGGGATTTTTTTTTAACTGCAAATATTCTTTAATATTATTAATACAAAGGAAAATCCCCAAAGAAACAAAAACCAAATCCTTTCACATCACGTTGCTATTTCATCATCTTTTTCTTTTACTTCTAAGTAATAAATAGACTATACCAACAGAATCTTACAGAGATCCCATTCATCATGCTCTCACTTCTAGCATGGGTTCCATCTTTACTGCTCTAAGGAGATCATAAATTTACCCTTGAATTCTTCCTGTTTGTCAACACTTAAGTCTTCATTTGCTCTGTGCTCTCTGCAGCACTGTATCCCTGCTTATTACAGTGCTTTCTTTTAAATTCTTTCCTCTTTATTTTGTCATGACACTGACTTCTTCAGGACCTTGTCCTGTGTGTCTGGAGGCACTTCCTTGGTTTCTTCCCCAGAGCTCTCTTCCTTCTCTTGTTCACTAAATCCTCTGCTTTTCTTCTTACTTTCCTGGTGTGTCTGTGGACTCTCCTGGAAATCTGTTACCAGGTGGCTCTTTTTACTTCCCTGGTGATAGTCTTCATTGGGCCCTCTCATGGTCAAGAACCAGACTCATCTTGTTTGGTTTAAAATGTTTATTGATAAAATTCTTTTTGGGGGCAGTACTGGGGTTTGAACTCAGGGCCTCACACTTGCCAGGCACTCTACCACTTGAGCTACTCTGCCAGCCATACTCATCTTTTGAAAGCCTGTTCTGTCCTGTGGTTGGACTTTATTTTGTTCCAGGATCCCAGTGCAAAATTTCATTTGTCTTTCTCTGCCTTTTCCTAGAATCTGCCTCTGTCTATCCAAATTATACTAAAATTCATTTCCTTTCCACTCTGAGTAGTAGAGATTTACTTGGGATTTCAGTTTTGCTTTACTTTTAAACTTCATATTTGGCCCTTTTTACCCTTGGACTCTTTTTTCTCTTTCTCTTCTTGGCCTGTTAGCCATAATCATTCTTAGAAAGCACAAATCCAGGTGTGACATTTCTTTGCAGCCACTTTTCATCATCTGTCATGAATAAAATTTGTACTTCCTAGGTTGGCATTTCAACTTTCAAAACATTGGCTCCAGATTGCCCCTCCCACCTTGCAGTTTTCCTCCCTTTGCCTTCCTGCCATAGCCAGTGCTTCAGGACATAAAACAGCTCATAGCATCCCTACCAGGTGCAAGAGCTGCCTGACCACCATGTCTCAAGTCTCTGGGATCATGACCTGTGACTTACTTCTTTTTCCAACACTTATAACCAGCTCTGGGCCAGATTTTAGCAGATGTTCCGGAGACATTTAATCTAGTTCACCATTTCACAAGGTAAATCATTGAATTTGGAGGAAAATAGTTTCCTCTCCTTTTCCACTGAAGTGTTTTTGTGATACTGGGGCTTGAATTCAAGGGCTACACCTTGAGCCACTCCACCAGCCCTTTTTTATGAAGGGTTTTTTTTGTGATAGGGTCTTGTGGAAATATTTGCCCACATTGGCTTTGTGGCTGTGATCCTCCTGATCTCAGTTTCCCCGAGTAGGTAGGTTTACAGGCATGAGCCACTGGTGCCCAGCCTGAAGTCTTTTTAACCAAGTGATGTAGGAGAATTTGTTTCCAGAAGAATTTTCTGTTCTTTGTAATGGAGTAAGCAGTATTGGTCAGGGTTTTATCAGATCTGTTGTAAGAGGCTTCACAAGATGAGCACTGAAAGGGATCCTAAAAGAATTTTCTCTCCCTTTCCCTTTATCCTTGTAAATGATGTTATAAGATCTAAAATGCTGCTTTGGGAATTTTGATTGCTCATCAATATACAGAAGTAAGAAGATAGCTATTTCATGTTATCTTTCTCATTTTTTAAAGAGAAGCTTGCATATATAATGTCATGTTTTCAAATGTGAGAATATTTAACTTAGTGCTTTCTTTTATTCAAAAGAATTCTGACATTTTGGTACTTTCCTTTGAAATAAACTGCAAACATGGCCTTTTGCAAGGGCTTGGAGGAGTTCCCTGAAGTGCAAATTTTCCCATAATGTGCCTTCTTTCCTTGTTTCTGAACTCTAGTTTGACCCTAGATTAAACCATCTGTGCCTATGTGAATTGAGGGCGAATTTTGGTCTCAATGTTTTTAACCAGCTATCTCAGAGCTCATCACTTCTCAAGAGAATTTCAATGACCTTTACCAATGATAAACCCAGTTCAAGAATGAGGAAACTCAGAATGAACTCCTATTTCTCTAACATTAATTTTCTAACCTATTCTGGTATACTTTTAGAAGCTCTGTCTTTGTCATGAGCCAAAATTTAATTCACTAAAAAATTCAATGAATCTTTCATTAAGCTAAGAGCAGCCAAGGGCACTTCAAGGCTATATGGCCAGCAGGTGTTCAATTCTTATTAATTAAGAGTGATGCACAAAGGCTCCCAGGACTGAGTCTCATTGACATCTTCTTGCCAATAATATATTTCTTTTTGGTTTTCTTTTCCTCTCGTGCTAATACCAAAGATTTCCTTGAACTCTGCCCTTATATTATCCAAGGAAAAACTTTGTACTGAGTTTCTCTCATAACTCTGGAAAATATTATCTTCCAAAGACAGATAAATCAAAATCTCTGGTTACTAACTTAAGTTATATATGTATTTTAGCACTTTTCAATTCCAAGGAGATTTACAAGGATTAACTAGTTAATCTTTCAATCTTTAGTAAGTAGCATTAGCCCCAATTTATAGAGGCTAAGAAAAAATACCTCAGAGTCTCACAGTAGATAAGGATCTATTTGAGGATTTAGGTACCTGCCTGCATATTTTCCATTACAGACAGTAGTGTGAATTTTTTCTGATGTACTCAGAATGTGTAGATGTTGCTGTCCCATGGAGTTTTTGAACTTGATGTGGGTAGTTTCTCTCTCTCTGTCTCTCTCTCTCTCTCTCTGTCACGTGTTTTTGGTGGGTCTGAGCTTAAACTCAGGGTTTCATGCTGAGTTTCAGGTGCTCTACCACTTGAGCCACACCTCCAGCCCCATAGTTTTTCTCTAATAAGAGGAGTGCTAGGTATCTGGCTAGGTCCTAGTATCTACTTGTCCACTATCCTAGTATCTACTTGTCCACTATCCAGCCCTATGACTTGGGGCCTCTCTCTATTGCCATTTTACAGATGAAAAAGGTGACACTTAAAAAGGGTAATAGAAGTATTTCCTCACCAAATTCATTGGGCCCCTATGAGGATCGAAGAGGTAGAGTGAACAGTAAAAGCTTATAAACTGTTAGGTGCTCTATAGTTGTAAATTGCATTACACTTTATTTTATACATAGCTTTATACTATTTATGTAGTTTCATGTAATCTGAGGTATTTATTACATGTAACTTGAAAGTTTTTGTATTTACTTTAGAAGAGAATTTGATAAGGGCTTCTTAGACTCTACCCAAAAGGATTTCGTTAGTGAAATGCCAGAAATAAACTCACTGCAGCATGTATTCTTCTACACTTCTTGTACACTTCATGTTACAGTAAAGCACAAGACTAGGAGGTTGGAGATAAAGTTAAATGATCAGTGTCTGCTGGTATAAGCTTTATTCCAGAATCAGGGTACATGGGCAAAACTGAGTAGAGAGATTTGTATGTTTATTAACATGGTTCACAGAGGGGGACCATAGTTTTGATGTACTGAGGCAGAACCTTAAGGAGGAATTGAGAAGGACTTGAGTAATTAAGCAGTAGCTGAAGACACTTGAATTTTGCTTAAGCTTCTGAGATGGTATTTCTTCTTATTCCCAGGTGAAGTTAAAAGAATAACCTTAGAGTAACTGTTCAGTCACTGTCTATGAAATAGTTGCCCATTTGCCACTTTCTCTATAATGCCAGCGAACTTGTGCGTTGATTTCCCTTAATGATTTGGACCTGGTAACTGTGTAACAAGTTGAGCGTGTGTTTAAGTGTGCCTGACTGCATCCTCCTTACCTTATTCTCATCCTCAAAACTAGGTGCAGTGCATTGGTTGCCCCATGGCTGCCGGAAGATGCTCCAGGCCCGGAGACAGGTTGCTGCTCTCAGAGTGGGGGATGAGAAGTTCTAGAGAACTTGCATTAGTATCTGTCAGGTCCATTTGGCAGGACTCCAATTGCTGGTTTGTCTGTCTTGGATTCCTGGTCTACACCTGCCTTGAACTCTGAGATTCCTCTGCTATTGCTACTGTAACTCCTGGCTTCTGCCTTTCCTGACCTCTGGTAACTGCTTACTTCTAGTACCTTCTTTTCTGTGCCTGAGTGTTTAATCCACTGTGATTTCTTTTTTTTTTTAGTTATATTGTTTAAAATTGTAAAATACTGCATATTTTTCATAATCCTTCTAGACAGTTTTTTTTTAACTTAAATAAATGGGATGGCATTCTGCAACTTTCAATTTTTGCATTATAAGTCTATCTCAGAGCGCTTTCCACATCTGTCTGTGTAAATCTACCTCATTCCTTGCAGCTTCTACATAGAATGCTCATACCAATATGGAGGCATAATACTTTATTTAATAAATTCCTATGATGGGTTTTGAGTTGTTTCCAATCATTATTATAAATAACACTGCTATAATCTTTGGTATGTATATTATCATGCACTGATTTGAGTATGACATGAAATAAATTCATGGAATTTATTTGGAAATTGTGGAATTGTTGGGTCAAAAATATGTACATTTAAAATTGATAGATACTACAGTTTGACCTAACAAATAGTCTATAAAATTTATAAATTCCTAAAACAGTGAGTGTGACTACCTTTGTCCATACAATTGCCACCAATGCATATTGTCTAAATTTTCAGATGAGTATTAATTAAATTTGTGTTTCTCTAATTACTAGTTAGGGTGTACGTTATTAGATGTGTTGGTCTTTTTCCTTTGTTTCTTTTTTTATACTTTATTTTTATTATTGTTGTTCTGGGTTTATTGTGATTTATGAAAGTTCCTACAATATCTCATGATTGAATTCACCTCCTCCATCATACTCATTTATTCCCCCTCCACTCATTCCTGGATTGGTTTCAATAGGTCTCATTTTTCCATTTGCATACATGTATACATAATATTTGCACCATATTCACCCTCGACACCCTTTCTTTGTATCCTCCCCCCACCACTGAACTCACCCCCGAAACAGGACCCATTTTGCCTTTCTGTTCTGTTTTTGTAAAAAAACAAAAAACAAAAAAACATTTTGTTTGTTTAAGACAGCTATATAGGGTGTTTTGTGGTGACATTTTCCATGTATATATGTACTCTATTTCCTTGGTTTCTTGATGGGTGGCTTTTATTTTTTTTCTATTGTGATGTTTATCTTAGGGAAGAAATTCTTTCTGTAGCATGGATACCATCTCCTTCCCCTTTCCCCTCATTGTATATGCTGCACATATTTTTCCCAGTCTGTTGCTATAATTTTAACCTTGTTTATGGTTGTGTGTCATTCCAACTGTGTTCTGACTGCTTCAGATTTTTGTCTGGAAAGCTTTGTTCCACTATCATTCAGATTCTTAGAATGAGAAGTTAAAGAAAAGTTCATAAAGTGAGGATGTGCCCTTTTATCATATGTTTTCTCCCTGATGGTTGTTCTTAAGAGGGAAGCCTAATGGTTCAGAAAGTCCTGGGTTATAGTGTTAAATTCCTTGAACAGATTCTTAAATGTAAGTATACATGTTTGTATTTAACTGTACACATACACACAAAGAGAGAGACTTTTGAGGGAGAAGGAGATAAATTATCTGTCTGTCTGTCTACCTACCTACCTACCTATCTATTTATGGTTGATTTAATGCTGTTTTCTAATGAATGAAGAGACCACAACCTTTGCAGATGAGTTAGCTCTTTTTCTGAGCTGGCCATTTATTACTGTGGGGATTGTATTCGTTTGTTCAGGCGTCTCGATCTGTCAACATAAACCATGTACTCTGTGTGCAGTTTGCACGTTTATTGACATAAATCCTAAATATATAGAGCAATTTGCTGAGCTGTTAACACACCCATTTTATATAAAGTTATAGCATTCAGTAGGACCAGAGAATTATTTACGTAGGAAACTATTTATCTTCAGCGTGATAGAAACAAGGCCGGGATGGTGACCAGCTCACTCACTCACTCTGAAATCTTTGCATCCCACTATTACTGTGCCATGCTGTATGTCCGTATTACCAGGTCTCTGTCCTGAGCTCAGAGCACAGGGGTGTGACGAATGATCGACAGGTAGGCATTTACCTGCCATAAAAGATGTGAGAACTTTGAGGAAGCGGTGAAATCTGAATGGGGCCAATAGGATTTGGGAATCACTGTGTCCCTGGCTTTTGAATTTGGCCTTGAAATATGAGCTTGATGTTACCAGCAGGAGAATAAAGGAAAGAGTATTGGGGGAACATTCCAGAAGTTGCTGGAAAGCATGACAGAACATCTTGAGTTGGTGGCATGTGTGACTGTAGCATGAAATGAGTGTTGCACAGGAAAATAGAGAACAAAGTCAGGATTCATACATGCCATACTGAGAAGTTAAGCTTTGTCGCAAACTTAAGACCTTGGGAAGGATGGGAATAAAATAGCCTTTTAGCAAAGTGTGAATGGTGGATGGCCTTGAGTGGGCACACACCACCTAGAAGGTTATTGCCGGGGTCTAAGTGAAATTCATTGCAGACCTACAGTTGTGAAGTAGAGAGGAGGGGCGGGCAAAGTTAGAAATTTACTTAGATGGGAGAATTAATAGGAACTGGTGACGAAATCGAGAGTGCAAGACCCAGGAAGGGAGGGGGAAATCAAGTTGAACTCTAGCATAAATAAGATGGAGCAATTAGAAAGGGGCTGCAGCTGCTAAGCAAAACGGGGACTAAAGGAGTGATAAGCCTGAGATGAACTTGGGGCATGGTGAAGTGGACTGAGGAGTGTCGGGCAGAGATGTGTAGTCAGCAGGTGAACACACTGGACCGATGGCCAGATGCAGACCAAGGTTAGGTATGTAGGTTTCCTGAGCCACCTGCAGGCTAGGCACTGCTGTGAGAACCAGTGAGATTGTCTGGGAGGAGATGTATATATTGAAGAGAAGAGGCTGCATCGAGAAACACCAGTGCTTAAGGAGAAGATAGCTGGCCAGAATATAGCAACACGTGGCTGAGAGCTTGTCTGTTTTCCTGATCGATATGTCCCAGGCACTCAATGAATACTTCTCACACAAGTTGAAGATAGTGGGGACCGGTAGAAAAATCATCCATCCAAGGAGCCTTCAGAGGTAGAGGAGGAGAAAAGGCATTAAATGTTATTGCCAAGGTCAGGGGAGCAAGGGAGAAGAAATTTCCAAGAAACAGATTGGTGAGGCACGTCAAATGCTGCTGAGTGATGACTGTGGGGAGTACTGAACACGCTCAGCAAGCAGACTTGAAGAGAGCAGCCTCAGTGGGCAGGTGCATAAATACAAAGGGAAAGTCAAGTGTCCGTGAGCTGCAGAATAGGAGGGAGGGAGACTGCAAGCACAATGACTGCACCACTCCCTGTTGAAGCATTGGAAATGAGTTTTATTTGGATTATTGAGTGACCTTGTCACTTGGTCCATTTAGATACCAAGACCCATCAGACTCTGCATTGGTCTGTGACAGTGGTTCCTAAAGTGAAGTCCCCACCAGACGCATCAGCATTAGGTGAGAATGGGCTGGAGGTGCAGATTTCTGGATCCGACCCAGACCCGCTGGCTCTGATGCTCTGGTGACAGGGCCTGCAGGAGTGCTGTAAGGAGACTTTCAGGTGTTTGATACACATTAAAGCTTGAGAACCACTGACCTATGGCATAATTTTGAGAAATACCAGCCCAGATGAGCTAATTTGCCTCTGAAGAGTGAGCTTCTGAGAGTTCTATAATAAGAGGCAAGGTATCCAGACCAGAGGGAGGAGAATTGAAGCTCTGCTCTATTGCCCGAAATGCAGCCATGGCTCAGCTTTCGCTTGTGCAGATGGACATAGGAGCTGAGCAGCCTCTGTTCTCTACTGAGTTTCAGATTTCCTGTCGCAACATAAAACATTGTTACCTAAGGAGTCACCCTGCTTTAATAGGATTTGCTTTTGCCTTTATTAAAGGCCAAGGTTTCCTTGGTCTTATTTTTCAATCCTTAAAGTGCCACCTCATATTTGATCTTTGGTCTGTTATATGGGTGCCACTGCTGGAAAAACTGGGGACTGGTGCATGTTTCTGCTGATTCCACTGCAAGTTTCTCAAAGCATTTCTTTTTGTCCTACCAGGTCTGCGAGCTGGATATTATCTTTAATTTTGAAAAGGCGTATTTTATCCTTGATGAGTTTATCATAGGTGGAGAAATTCAGGAAACATCCAAGAAAGCTGCCGTCAAAGCCATTGAAGAATCGGATATGTTACAGGAGGTCGGTACCGCTTCCCCTTGTAAGATAGATGATAACAGTGATGAGATTGCCAATAATTACACTGTTACCCAACGCCCATACTTAACCTGTGCTGGGCATACTTTCTAAGCAATTTACATCTGTTAATTTATTCTTTCAGCAACTTTAAGAAGTCTCATTGTTTTCCCACTTTACAGATGAGGAAACTGAGACATAAAGAGGTTAGATGACTTGCTTAATTTCACAGTAAGAGTGAAATAGAGATTTGCACCCAAGCAGTTGGGTTACTGGGTTGCTTGTTCTGTTTGGCTGAGAGTTTTGGTGTAAGGATACCTTGCTGTCAGGTATGAAATGCTGGGTGCTATTCTTCACAAAAAATAATTTTATGAGGCATATAAAAAGACCGTCATTAAAATATCTATGTTGTCCTGGGAAAGAAGAGTAACAGCATTTAGTTACTCCATTTGCCAGAAACATTAGAGCTTTGTTATTGAAGACTGCATTTATCATTTTAATTAAAATTTCTCACACCTCCTGGGAGGGCTGTGTACATGCTATTTGCATCCTGAGCACCCATTTGGTACCCATCTGTGACTCACAGATAAAATATACTGGGATCTTTCCCTATTTTTTCTTTTTCTTTTGTTTTTTTGGGGATCCTGGGGTTTGAACATAGGGCCTGTGAGTTTGCTAGAAGGTGGCAGCCCTTTTTTTTCTTAAATTATTTTTCACATAGGTTCTCACATTTTTGCTTGGGGCTGACCTTGGACCTCAGATCTCCTACCTGTGCTTCCCTCGTAGCTGGCATTGTAGATATGTGCCACCATGCTGAGCTTGTTTATTGAGATGGAGTCTTGATGATTTTTTGCTGGCCTCTAGCCATAATCCTGATCTCTTAACTCCTGATTAGCTGGGATTATAGGCATGCAACATCCTACCCAGCATGGGGTTTTTCTTTTAGAGGCAGCTCATATTTGCATCATACATAACTGGGGAACTTAAAAACTGACATTAGCCTCTTCAGTCCTCCCAAAGACAGTGAAAAAAGAGCACTTCAATCCACTGACCTTTGCCTTCCAAGTTGATGACAATCTGATCAGCTCAAGTGAGTGTCTGGGGACCTGCCGCCACTGGCTACTTCTCCCACAGCATTGGTGGGTCTTTCTGTTTTCCTAAAAGCAGGTCAGGAGGATTCCAAGCATTAGAAGGCACCTGTTTAAAATTGGGGAGAAAGCCATTCTTCCTGCTATTGGAAATAAGAGGCTGATTAAGTTAGTAAAATAATGTTAAGTGTGATTTCCCAGCAACTGTTTTAGCACTTGTCTGAGCTGATTACTTGCTCCTGCCCATGGATGCAATCAGTCATCAGGTGAGTGGATATAAGAAAGAGCTGTTTGAGTGGGTGCCCAGAGCAACTCTGTGCACTTGTTAGGGGCCAGTGCACTCATTTTCTCACCTCGAAGAATATTTACTAGGCTGTCTTCAAGTGCCACACCAGGGAGATTTTACTGATTTTAGAAAAATCAATGGCTTGGAAATTCCACAGAACAGCAATTCTTAAAATATGGTGGGGCTGGAGAGGTATGGAGTGGGAAGCAGAGGTTATTTCTGCTGTTTTCAGAGTCCTTAATGTGGAATCTCCTTGCAGGAGAAGCAGGCTTTTCATAGGGTCTTTGGCACATCAGTAATAAGCTTCCTGAATTGGGGACAGACACACCTGGGTTATTTCAAAGCCACCGCTCACCCCAGAAAACAGTTTTAAAGCATTTTCACTGAATGTATTGTTTCTGGTTCCATTGAAATCTTGGAAGCAGGCATTTGAAGACAGATTTTTCACAATTAAGTACTAATTGGTGGTGCATGTCCCTGGTGAGTGATTGGACAGTCTTGATGGCTAGGTCTCAGGGACCCTGCATTTAGCCTTGGGTCCCCTGTGAATAGGCAGTGCCATGGCTGCTCTTAAGTTGCTTTGTTAAGAGTACCTGCCATATAGAGTGTGCTACCTGTGCCCTTTTGGAAGCTGGTCCTCAGAGAACCTGTTAAAAAACTGAGTTTATAAATCTGGTCTGCTTTAGAAAGTTTAGCATGAGTAGGAGAGAATGATATAATTGCATAAAGAAAGAAAAATGCTGCTTTATTTCCTGTTCTTTGGAATTAAGCAAATATTTATAGTTTCTGCAGATTAAGGAAGGCTTTTTTTTTTAATTGTTGTGCTGAGGGTACATTGTGACATTTACAAAAGTTCTTACAATATATCAAATATATCATACTTGAATTCACCCCCTTAAGGAAGGCTTTGTGAGATTGCTTCCACTTTCAGAACAACTGTAAATCTTGACGTAACCTCAGGGACCTTCCCTGGCCTCTACCCAATGAAATTCTAGGGGGAAGAGGGGAGCTGTCTTCACATTTTTAGTAAGAAGACACATAATCTCAAATCTCCAAATGCTCATCACTCCAGGATTACTCTAAGCGTACTGGGGCTAAATGTTGATGACAGTAACGAAAGGCACCGTTGAATTGGCTGGGGATGATTTATTTGAGAGGGAGGAAGGAGCAACAATGTGGATGATGACAGAAAGTCCATAGAATGAAAAGGAGATTCTTAAAGAACAGGCATTACCTGCCGAGGTTGCAATTCCTAGAATCACCAGTAGGGGCAGCCATCAGTGGTTTTTTGTTTTGTTTTGTTTTGTTTTGTTTTGTTTTGTTTTGTTTTTCTTTGTAGACTAAGAGCATGTTAAGAAAGAAAGGTCAAAGGTACCTCAGGAGATCGAGCAACAGGATATCTGCTTTGTATGCGTGGATGCATGAGCAGCTGCTCGGTGCACTGTTACCCTTCAAAGCATAAACCCAAACCATAATTCAGTAGAAAGTTGAAGCATGACAGTGTAGAATGCACAAGAAAGACCACAGTGATGGATGTATCCAGAAGGGAATACAAATTCCAACCTCTTCTTGTGAAGGCAAGGGCAGAGATCTTTAAGGTTGTCCAGTTTTAAGTCTGTTTCAAACCATTCAGATGGGAGGCTCAAGAAACACCAACTCTTAAGTGATTGCTTCATATACCTGGAGAGACAGCCCGGCTCGGCAAGGGCAGTCAGAACAGCAGTCAGTCCTCAAGTCACCTGGTGCTGTGAGCAGTGCTGATAAGCAGAGGCTGTGGGCTTCTTCAAGGCTGCAGAAAGTCATCTGGCGGTGTGTTTATGTAGTCATGCATTTTAGGCAGATTCGCAAAAGCAAGATATTTAACTGCAAAGACTGTGTAGCTGTGTGTGCAGTGAATGTAAGGTATTATAGACAACTATCAAACAATCAGTTAGTGTGCTGGGTACCAGTGGCTCACACCTATCATCCTAGCTACTTGGGAGGCTGAGAACAGGAGGATCCTGGCTCACGGCCAGCCTAGGCAAATAGTGGAGACCCTATCTCCAAAATAACCAGGCAAAAATGGACTGAATCTGTGGCTCAAGCAGTAGACCAACTGCTTTGCAAGCACAAAGTCCTAAGTTCAAACCTCATTTCCACCAAATCTTTTTAATATTAGTAATGTGCTATCATTTCTTTTCTCATTCTAAATAAACTTTATACCTAATTTGTAACTTTGTATTCCTTTTTAAATGACATGAACTCTGGGCTCCACAACACCAACAAGGGCTGCTAGCCAGTATGGTACCCCAGCCAAGTTAAAGACGTGAGTGACATCTTTAGAAGGAGACTCAGGGCAGAAGTCTTAGGGCTGTGGGCCTCTCTTGGCCAGTGCTCATTTAGAAGGTCAAAGAGCTTTAGGAAAAAATGTATATGACTGAGTACAAGTATTTTCAGCAAAGAAGCACTGCAGTTCTAAAGAGAAAGGTGAAGGAAGTTAGACAACCTGATTTCTAATCCGGCATTCCCTAGGCAATCTTGAGTGGCCAGTAGCCTTGATCTCTTTGGCACATGTTGTCATTGTGTTTCCTGGCAAGTTGAAAGGAATCCCATACACTGGGGTAAAAACTTAAGAACAAGTCAAGCACTGATTGCTAAGTAAGCTTACAGTGACTCACACAAAAGAAGGGGATTGCCTTCCTTGCTGCTCCTTGGCTCTCTTATTGATTTGACCTGGGACCGTGGTGTTACACAAATATATATGTTTATAGTAGAGGGAGTGCGGAGAAAATCCATCCATCTTGTACCATTGTAGGGTTTGCAGCATCACTTGTAATTGTGAATCTGTTCAAACATTTAAAAAGTGCTGAAAAAGTTATGGCCTTGGGGCTTGTTAGCAAACTCCACAAGTGATGGGTAGGATGAAGAAACGTGATTTGTATACTTTAGAAGAAAGCCTTTTCAAAACACATGGCAGAAATTCTTCAAAATCTTGGTGTGTTTATCTTTGTTGTCTTGGCAGTAAGAGCTCTCTGCACAGTATAGGAAATTGTACACATGTTATATAAGTCACTTCAGGCCTCTCTAGTACCTGTGCCTGAAGTGGTCCTCATGATCATTTTAGAGACACATTTATCTTAAATTAACAGCGGTAGCTGTTGATTTAGCATTTCTCTCACACACATTCATTTTGTGATCAAGCTTTGTCTCAGTTGAATGTTAGGTAGTTTCAGCCATATGGTTGTGTATACAAATGATACTCAAGCTTTGAAACACCTTTTTTGGTCAGAATGCAAAATTTATGTCCATTTATGTTTTTGAAAATCTTTTCCACTAGTGGCAAAAAACACGAAAGAACGTAGAAGATTTTGCAGTCTGCTAAAGTATGTGGCTTAAAAGCAAAATTGTTCTAATTCATTGTTCTCTTTCAGACGATGGAAGAATACATGAATAAGCCTACATTTTAACTGTATATCTACTTGAAGACTCCGAGTGCTATGTGTTTTGAAATTACACATAAGCAATGCCTTGCATCCGGTCTGGATAGAGCCTCTGGCACCATGCCAAAAATAACTTAAAGGGATACTTTGTTAACTAGCAAAAAATATATTTATAATTGCTATGTCTGTATTATACTGTACAGGAGCACTTTTTTGTGGCTATAGTTATTTGAAATAACTGCTGTATAACTCAACACACTGAATAGTGGTTTGCAATGTTTTAACTCCATGTATATTTTTAAACTAATTTCAAAAAATTAGCTGCAATATATTTTTGTTGCATTTGGTCTTCTACTGAGAGATGGAAAATTGTATTGCTTTAACTCATGATTATGAATGTTAAGTAACCTTATATCATTAACACCTTTCCTAAAATGTTTAATTTTTTAAATTGTGTATCAATTCAAAATTATATTCATAGTTAAGAGTTTATACATAATGCAAGACATTTTTAATATACTTAATAATGCTATAATCTCAGGCCAGATACAATGTATCTGATACTAATGTCCTGAATTCGTTTATATTTTCAAGACTGGAATTAAGGAAGATAACCAAAGATAGTATAGAACTTAGTAAGTGCTTTTAATGTCTTAAGCTGAGGTTTTGATTCTACTTTGTAATTGAATATAAGGGACATTCTAATAAGGTTGCATTTTCTACAAACTATGTATTTATTAAAGTTTGAAGACGTCTGGAGATACAATGTCTATGACATCTCTTATGTTATAAAATTTAAAGGTGGGAATTACTAACAATAGTAATAATTACTATTGCTTCTACTATTTCTACAATCGCTTATGTTCCAAGCACTCATAGTTGCTTGAGAGATTTTGTTTTGAGTATTTTTTCAATGTAAATCTAATATATTTGAGGTCATTGCTTAATCGAGCTTACATAGGGCATTTGTTATCCTTGCATCCTGTATTGGGGTGCATTTCCTCCTCTCCCCCAAAGAAAAGTTTTGCTGCTAACCGTCATTATTGTGAGTATGTCACCTTCCTGCTTCCTGGAATGAAAATTGTACAGAACTAGGTACTGAATGTGATCATTCATACTATGATGCTGTTTTGCTGCCTGTGCGTTTTCCATGTTAGTTTTGAGGTCTGGCATCTCTCCCGCTGAGTGGTTAGGACCATCCCGTGCTCTTCCTGAGGCAAGAGTGTGCTTGCTCTTGGATTCTATGGGAGATTGCATATGGTAGACCCAAAGACAACATAATGAAAAATGTTCGCTTTGGTTCATCTCAGAAGACACATTTAAAGGAAAATGACAAGAGCAAGGGCACAAGAACAGAGGAAGAAACTGACCAGTTCTTCAATGTAATCATTTACTTAAAGGAAATAATTCTGATTACAATATGAAATAATCACTGGTCTTTAATATGTGGTGTATCCTCAAATGAATGTTATGATTATAATTGTGGCACCAGATTGGAGTTTATCTTTTTTGATCAATATTGTTTACTTTAGGCGTCCTTCAGTTTTGTGACCTAACTTTTTAAAAATCATGATGGAATTCTTTACTTTTCAAAATAATTTTGGAAAAATGAACTTCATGGAAATCCATCATACTTTGTTTGATTTCTTTCCACTAGTTTTGGATGAAGGGCTCTCATGAACATCATTAAATATACTACATATTTGCTGGATAGTTCCATGTTTGACACTGTCAGGCTATGCACAGGGGTTCTCAGACTTCCTAACAATTTCATACACAGAAGATACTCATTTATGTGGCACACTGGGGTAAATTCAAGGGACTTTGGGGAAATCTTTCATGGGCCCCAGTGAAAATAATCATTATGTCTTCTTTTATATTATATAATTATAACAGAAATACCAAGTGAAAGCAAAGATAATATTCAATTTGTATAAAACCTCCAATAAAATGTTTAAAAGAACTTGATGAATGTTTTTATGAATTATATCTAGTGGTACTGGGTTCGAACTTAGGACCTTGCACTGGCTAGGCAAACACTCTACCATTTGAGCTGTGCCTCCATCCCCTTTTGCTTTAGATAGGGTTTTGCTTTTGCTTTGAGCTAGACTTGGACCATGATATTCCCCCCTTCTGCCTCCTGTGTAGCAGGGTTTATAGATGTGTATCACCATACTTGGCTAGTTTTTTAAGATACAGTCTCACTTCTTTGTTTGTTTGTTTTTGCCCAGACTGGCCTTGAACTGTGATCTTCCTGATCTCTTTTCCCATGTGGCTGGGCTTACGTGTGTTCACGATCATTTAATTTCACTTTTCTAAGGTTTAATCAGTAAACTAAACTGGTAAATGTTAACGTATTTTTCCACATGGTTCCTGAAATTTTGAAAAAGTCCATCAGATGCTAGGGAACATGAGTAAAGCAAGCCAATGACTATTTTCCAGCAATTTGCAAAGAGAAGGCCATTACATTCTTTGCGATTCTTATTTTGACTCTTGAAAAATACTTAACAAACTTGTCTGTAGACAATGGGCAGAATTGATATTAAACAGCTGTGATCTGTTTTGTCCTGTAAAGCCCAAGCCAGGCGGTTTGTGACATGTGGGGCTTATTAGATTCACCTTTGACAGTGCTGTCTGAGAAGGGGGTTTCTGGCCTGCAGAGGCACTTCCGGTAAGTGCTTCATGAATGGACTCACGTTAACTGACTCTCTTCTTGCAGCTGGGCCATCAGTGTGTAACGTGCACTGTTTTATTACGTCTTGTTCAAAGTGTTCATTTCCTAGTTTGTTTTGCAACTTTACTGAATCCATCACGTTCCAAGCATGTCTCTTGAGAGCATGTCCTCTACTAACACGAGTCTGTCCATCTGAGATGCTGCATCTAACTCTACCGTCTTCTTGATTCAAATGATGTCCATCTTTGATGTATGCTGTATTTACTAACAGCGTTTTTCCAAATGTCACCTTTCTCGTTCCTTTGGGAAATGTGCAGAAGTTCCGTGTAGGCTGTTTAGATGAGCAATTCTGCCATTGTGTGAGTTACATGGGCTTTTTCAATCGTTAGTAGGACCTCATAATTACCTTTTCAATAGCACTCGATATTGTTATAACTTACAAGAGATGGTTCTTATCTTACCCTTGTGCATGTTTAAAATGTTAATTTTGAATGTACAATGTATGTTTAGAAGAAAGATGCTGGTGTAATTTACTTAAACCATTTCCTCCTAGATAACATTTTGAAGTAAATAAGACATTTAGGTGAAAGAAAAGGAAGACTTGTAAAGAACTTGGTTCCAAATACAAGATAGTCCCTGTCCTGCATCAATAGTGACTTGAACTTTTTTTTAAAAAAGTTCTTGGGGCTGTTGAATTTGCTCAGCCTCTACTTTTAGTAAAATTTTCACTGTGGTGGGAAGTTATCTGTAACATTTAAGACTATATAAATGAAAAAGACTATATAGAAGAAATTAAGCGCCCTTTGGGGCAGGGATGTGGCTTAGTGGCAGAGAACTTGCCTAGTATGTGTGAGGTCCTGGGTTCAATCCTCAGTACTGCCAAAATAAATAACAAGCAAACAAACCAAAAAAATGGGAGTTGCAGACACTTGTGGTCACAAATTAAGTTTCAAAAAATAATTTTGGGTGCCAGTAGCCCACACCTGTAGTTCTAGTACTCTGGAGGCAGAGATCAGGAGGATCTTAGTTTGAGGCCATCCTGGGCAAATAGTTCACAAGATCCTATCTCAGAAAATACCCAACATAAAAGAGGGTAGGTAGAGTGACTCGAGTGGTACAGTGCCAGTGTGAGGTCCTGAGTTCAAACCCCAGTGTCACAAAAAAAAAGATCATGTGCATTCATTAGAATGGAAAAAATACAGCAAAAACTTGGAGTCAGTAAGCTTTCTGAAAATTAATGCAGTTAAAATTTGGATGTTTTGAAATACTACTTTTCATTAAATAAAAATCTTCTAAAAAGACCATAATATAAATACTTCTTTCACTTTTGTAGGATTAAGTATATTTTAGAGACTTCTGTAACAAAGTGATTCAATTAGATTACATTTTTCCATTTTTAGAAATAAGCATCTTTTTTATATTTGGAAACTTTGTTTAATATAATTTTATCAAGAGTTGATCTTTTAGTAATTATAATATTAAAGGCCAAGGTATATTAATGAGAAAAAGGAATAAAATCAGTTACCTGGACTATCTAATCTCATATAAGAATAGTAGTAACCATAAATAAGACAATTTTTACATACTTTATTAGTTGAAAATAATAGAGCATATTAAGTTGGAAGAAAATTTAAATCTCTTACATACATACAAAGAACCTCCAGAATGATAAATTATAAAGTGAGACTCAGACTATCTGATGACATTAGAAAGTGCTTCCTGTGAGACACTTCTTTCCAGCCCTCTCTGCTCTCTGCCACTGTGTCCTATCTTCCAGTTCTTACGAGCCAAAATACTTACGTACTGAATTTAGGAGTTTTTCCAAGGCAGCCATCCAAATACTAAAAAAGTATAAGCTTTTAAATTAATGAGAAATAGTGTCTTCATTTTTTTCATCTCTGTATATGAACAACTCTCAGTCTCTGAAAGCAAGTAAGTTGGCCATAGTACACAAGTTAGGTGTTTTGAGCCCTAAGATGAAGTTCAGCTAAAATATTACAACAGACTAGAATTTGAGGACCCTTGTGCTGGTTCTGGCTGCTACCGACAAGATTCCTGACTTGCTCTTTGGAGTGGGTGGATGGCACAAATCATATATGACAATGGAGGTGAGCTAGTCTAAACCATTCTTTATATAGAAGAAGAAAGAAGACCAGGACATTAACACTTGTGTTTTGATCAGGTCCCGGTGCTAATCATTTGCTTAATTAAACCTTGTCTTGATCAAAGGTGTTTCATTATGAAAGTATTTCCTGGTATGAAATACAAGCTAATGACATTCAAGGCGTGTTTTTCACCCTTTTAAATGATGCAAGTGAAGTACTGAGTGGAATTTAAATGAACGATGCCATTATAGGAGTAGAAAAGGAATAATTCGTCCTGGAATATGGGTGAAAGGTAAATCACCAAGTTTGTGTTGCTGAGTTTTGCAGGTGCGATTTTTCACGTCTCAGAGGGAAGCAGAAAACAGAGGAAGAAGATGTTTGCCTGGTGTTGCATAATAGTCTGTAAAAACTCCAG